GGAAACTGAATAGTAACATATTCCTGCATGTGTCATGAGTCATATGGTTCCATTTGTCAATAACTTATTTTAAACTTGAGGGATTCCTTTCAAAAGTGATACACTATGACAAGAGTAAGATAAAGAAAAGAAAAGAAGTGGTTATTTAGGTGATTTTTGGGGGGGGAGACAGCAGACATTGGTCACAGTGTTCTAATACATGTGTGGAAAGAGAAGGATTGTTTGTTAATCACAGTTTTACAAGCATTAGCAGAAATTTATAATATTGCCTTAACAAGAAAACCTTAACACTGAACATCTAAATTTTACTACTAGAATTTTGAGATAAAACTTTGTGAATGAGATAGAGAATCTTCTGTTTGCTTAATGTTCCTAGCCAATAAAAAATTAACTCTTGCTGGGGGTGGTGGTACATGCCTTTAATCTCTGCATTCAGGAGGCAGAGACAGGTGGATCTCTGTGAGTTCAAGGGCAGCCTGGTCTAGATAGGGTGTTCTAGGCCAGCTGGGGCTACAGGGAGACCCTGTTTCAAAAAATACTCCCCCACCAAAAGAAGTTGAGTCTTATCTTGAATGTAGCTTTTTAACACCAGGTTCAATCAGTGCTTCTTCAACAAGATATGATGGTCAACAGAAACTGAAGTTATAGGGAAAAATTTTAATGGTTAAATATGTTTAAAATATAATTAAAGTTCAATAAAATGAAAACCTTTGTATTAGGGATTAGAGAAAAAAGGAATATGGTGATTGTGTCTAGTATGATTACAGAAAATAAGCAACATGAAATTAAAAACACAAATAATATAACACTGTTATCTCAAACATACAAAAACAATAAAAAAGAAGAGATAAAACAGCAAGTCATTCTTGAGTTTAATGTACTTATGAATCGTTATAATCGTTCAACATGTAAGAACCCAAAGAGATTCTGATTCAGGACCTGTTACTGTTTCTAACCATCTTCCAGTGTGATGTGTATACTTTGTCCAAACTGTGTGTCCTTATGTCAATGTGTTTAGGTCTGTGCTTTCAAATTATTTAGCCATGGCAATTGCTTTCAGATTATTTAGAAAGAAAGGAAAAAAGAGAGAGGAGAGTAGGGAAGAAAGAAAAGAAAAATAGGAAAATAGAAAGGGAGAGAGAGAAGGAGGAAAGAGGAGAAAAAAAAAAAACTTCCCAGGCTATTTTCAGATGGAATCTAGCATAGTTTCCTTTAAGGCATTTTTATATTCTGTGCTGTGACTTAAGAGATTAAAAATATCATTCTGGCGTTCTTTTTATGAGAGTGACAGCTATGTCTGGGGATATAGCTCAGTGTCAGAGCTCTTGCCTAGCATGCATGAGACCCAGGGTTCAATCCCTAGTCTTCCTTCCACAAAAAAAGAGCAACCCCTAAAAATAAGTAAAAAGATTTTCAAACGTGACAAATCAGTGCAGAATTGGTGTTTGTGTCAGATGCAGACCTGATCAGTTGAGGAGTAGCCCAATGATGAGTTACTCCTATTTTGTCTGTTTTGGCCTTTAGAAGTAAAGAACCTGGCTTTTATTGGTGGAGCTATCAAAGACTGAGAAGCCTCAGATTGCTTTAGTCTTAGGCAAAATGTAAAAACTGAGTGCCTAATAGGCAATATTTAACAATCGGTGATGTTTTGTGTGCCTTTGATTTTCTTTTGAAAATGAAATTAGTTGCCAACACATGAAAATTAGGAGATATGTAAAAACCCACATTTTAAAAATAAAAATCAAAAGACAAGGGGCATAGAACTGATTGGGTTAGAAAGGGAACGGCTCATTGGAAGAGCTTTCTTTCCATCTACCTAGGATTGCTGCAGGTGGCCCTCTTCTGCTACCCCCATGGGCAGCGTTTCCACCTGCAGCCTGTCCTTAAGGTTTGCCAAGGAGTTCACATTGCTGTCACCACCATGCGTTTCTAAGACACAGCCACAGTCGCAGTTTGTAATTATAGGAATTTATAAGAATCTTGAAATTCATAAAGATAGGAATTACTATTATGTATAAACTTAGAGCAGTGTGGACTGATCAGTTATTCTGACTCATCATAACAACTCCTATAGTTTCATGGACTTCTTGTTTGCATTTAATTTCAAGCATAATTATGACTCGATCTATGAATTAGTTTTTAAAAATTAATGATGTCATTTAGATATATCTCAGTAAACTCATTCAAGTAGAAGGCTTTGAAAAACAAATGCTAAATTTTTTAAAAAAATATTTTATTTATTTTTATTTTATGGATATGAGTGTATTGCCTGCATGTAAGTATACCCATGTTATGCAATGCTCATGGAGGTGAGAAGTATGCTTTGATTTCCTCTGGAACTGAAGTTAAAGATGGTTTTTAGCTGCCATGTAGGTGTTGAGAATTGAACCTGGGTCCTCTGCAAGAGCAGTTGGTGCTCTTAATCGCTGAGCCGTCTCTCCAGCCCAATACCAAAATTTATGAAAATTAGCTTCTGGTCAAAGCATACATCCTGTAGAAGGATGATTCTCTCTTAGGTAGGGAAAAAATGTGTGGATGAAAGTTTTGCCTATTAACTACTTGGGAAGATAATTTAAAATTTGAATTCATCATGGCTTTGACTGAAGTAAAAATGATGGCAAATGTATCATGAATCAAATGTTTACCTGAGGCCCAGTGTCTGTCTGTGCAGTCTGACTTTACTCTGGAGAAGTTCATGGTCTCTTTACATCTTCTTTCAATAAAGAAATTACAGTAGTAATTCCTGTTTGATGAACTGTATTAGATCACCTCATCTGAAGGCTCTCAGCCATTTGCTTGGTTTGGTTTTAAAACTATGTACTTTAAAGTTAAATTAATACAACAATTGAAAAACACGTGCCTTTAGAGGAGAAGATTAAAATAATTTGTTTACCTTGAACCTTATATAGGAAAGCTGACATGTAAACTAAATGAATTACATTAAAAGGATTAAATTAGAAATTGAACCCCTAAAGAAATTTGAAGCAAACTTTTAACTTATTTGGAAGTTCACAGGAAAGTTAAGCAAAAATTTGCTTTTTTTAGAAATGGAAGAAAAAATACTGTGCACTTGTAACTATGGTGTGATTTGAAGATATGGATGAGCACCTATTTCTTCAGAGAAGACTTACACAAATATAAAGCTTTTAATGTAGATGGAATGATCAAATACCTATTTATGTGTTGACATATTCATTTACTTCCACATATATTTGTAAAAATCACATTGCATAAGATTTCAATTTAGAAACACCTACTTTCCCCCACTTTTCTAGTTCATTGATTTTTTTTCATATTTTTGCATGTGGCTTGGCACAGTGTCTCTGTCATCGCAAAATCTCTTGCTTTTACCTGTCTCATCCTGTTTTCTTGCACTCTTCATTTCTAAGTTTTTTGAGCCTCTATTTTTCCATACAAATATATTTTTTTACTATAAATTACATTTCAAACTATAAATCCTATTTTCATATTAAAATATAGTTATTTTAAAAATCTTTTCCTGAGGCTAGAGAGACACAAGGCAGTTAGAGCACTTACTGCTCTTGCAGAGTTTCATTCCCAGTACCCACATCAGGCAGCTCACAACCACCTGTAGCTCCAGCACCAGGGGATCTGATGCCTCAGGCCTCCGCCAGCACCTGTACTCACATGCGCATTTCCACACACAGACACATAATTAAAGATAATAAAAATAAATCTTTTATGTTTTTTCCTGCTTGTAAATACTTTTGATTTCCAGTGTGTAATTACCTCAAGCAATGACTGTTAAATTTATCTTTAGTAGATTTAGTAGATTTTTGCATAACTATACGTAATGTGAAATTATAAGAAATACTAAATATGAATGGAAATTTGCTTTCAAAAACATGTTTCAAGATTATACTTGTAAATACCTGGAGCTAGAGAAATCGCTCAACAGCTAAGAGCACTAGCTGCTCTTGCAGAAGACCCTAGTTCAGTTCCCAGAACTCACATGGCAGTTGACAACTGACTGTAACTCCAGTTCTAGGAATTTAGTGTCTTCTTCTGACTACATGAATGTGGTGCACTTACATGTATGTAAGTAAAACACTCATTCACAAAACAAAAATAAATAAATAAAAAAGATTACACTTATAAACACTTAAAACTAGTAATAGTGGAGTTGTATTAATGTATTTTCTCAAAAAAAAAAAAAAACACCCACTTTGTTTTAGACACTAAAGTAAGAGAGAACTTAGGTAATGATTAAGCCAGAAAACTACTCCCCTTTCTTGATAAATAATCTTGGGGGAAGAAAAATAATTGCTTTTCTTTTGTACATCTGTGATATATGTATATTTTTATTTCTCGAGATTATTCTTTAAATCTTTAGTAATGTGGAGTAAAATGTAGTAAATAACCAGAAGAGGGGAAGAATCTTACCTAGTGACAAGTCAAGGTGATGCTATTAATCTTTTTTTTTCCTTTGCTCACTGCATATCGTAGTCATTGAAATATCCATTTCCTACAAGAAGACAGAAAAAATGAGGAAATAATTGGATATATTATGTGGTAATCATTTTAATGAGCATTTCCATCCTGATATTAGAAGGTAGATGGGAGATGTTGTCCTTGCTGTTTTCCTGATAACTCTGAGCTAAGCTATTAAACACAAACTTTATAAGATAGGAACAGTTGGTGTTTTATCACTGAGGATGCTGTTGGAGGGAGATCACAGTGTTTAGAAATATCAGGGAATTTACCATTGGTGATGGATGGTAGGCTTTCTGTCTTGGCTAGTCTAGGAAATGCTTCCTTTTACAAATTTAAGCAAGTTAAAGTAGAAAATGTTTTCATTTTCACTTCTTCTATAAAAAAGTCTAATACAACAGTTTCAGGTAAGAATAAGTCACTTTTTCAGACTTGTGTGAAAAAAGTTAACATTATTAGTGTACTAGAAATATGACAGTTTGGTATCTATATTAGCAATAAAGTATAACGATGAAAATAATGGTGGATTATCATTTTTATCTCAACAGTGGAAAGAGTGGAGCGAGAAAACCTTTCAGACTATTGTGTTCTGGGCCAGCGTCCAATGCATTTACCAAATATGAACCAGCTGGCATCCCTGGGGAAAACCAACGAACAGTCTCCTCATAGCCAAATCCACCACAGTACTCCAATCCGAAACCAAGTGCCCGCATTACAGCCCATCATGAGTCCTGGTCTTCTTTCACCCCAGCTCAGTCCACAACTTGTGAGGCAGCAAATAGCCATGGCCCATCTGATAAACCAACAGATTGCCGTTAGCCGGCTCCTGGCTCACCAGCATCCTCAAGCCATCAACCAGCAGTTCTTGAACCATCCACCCATTCCCAGAGCAGTTAAACCAGAGCCAACTAACTCCTCTGTGGAAGTCTCTCCAGATATATACCAGCAAGTTAGAGATGAACTGAAGAGGGCCAGCGTGTCCCAAGCGGTCTTTGCAAGAGTGGCATTCAACCGCACACAGGTACAGTTAACATTCATCACAACTTGTGGTTAAGAATGAGTGTAGGGCCAGGCACAGTGGCGCAAACCTTTAATCCCAGTACTCAGGAGGAAGGCATCCCTGCATGACCTTAATGAATTAATTTTAGTAATATAATTAACATCTGAGAGCCTACTATCCAACTCAGATCCCAAAATATTACCACTGATAGGGTCTGTGTCTCTGCTCCACCCTCATCCTCACCATCTGCGTTTCCCTGAACTCTGATCTTCAATTTTATGATTACCATTCTCCTCCACTTTCAAAAAATATTTAGGACTAGTTGTAAAATTATTTATATATGCTCAAACAACCTTCTATTTGTTTTGTTATGAACATTATGAAAGAGTATTTTATAAAACATTTAAAATGTCAGAGTTAAGAAATTAACAAATATTTTTCTTATTTTTAATGTTTTGAAAGAATTGCGTGGGAATATAATATTAAATGATAAAGGTGAACAGTTTCTTCATAAATGTGTTATTTTATTAAGTGCTGCTTATTTGGAAGGTTCTTTTCCATCAGTGATTCTTTTTTTTAACTATTTTATTTATTATTTTTAATTTTGTGTGTATGAGTGTATTGCCTGCATATGTGTGAGTGCACCTGTGTCATTCAGTGCCAAAGAGTAAAGGTGCTTCACTTGGGGTCTCAGTAGTGAAGGAAATGCAGCCAGATAGACACTCTAAATGCTGAAGTAGCTGAACATCCTAGGAGGCCATGAACACAGTGCCATGCATGGGCTTTGGCTGAGTTGGGATTTGGTGATATTTACAACAGTATAAGGATGATAAGTCTTCAAGTACACAGCATTGTTTGGTTTAGTGACCCTACAGTATGCCAAGTAGGAAGAGAAAAAGGATCCCAGGTGAAAGCATGAACAATATGATTTCAATTACTGGGGAATTACACCTTGAAGATTAAATGAAATTAATGAGAATCAAAAGTGGACTTAAGCTAGGTGAATTTATAAGGACAGCAATGGTTCAGAAAATTGTGGGAATAGTTGGAAGTTGATAATGAAACTTAAGGGCAGTGGTACTGGGGACAGATCAAAAAAGGTCTTGTGAGATATGCTAAGAACTTTGAACTTTTAGCACTAGAACTGTGGAAGCTCTTACATAGGAGCTCGCTGTGACTCAATAGCAATATTAAGTCTTAGGAAAATTTTACTTTTTTTTCCTTTTATTGCAGCAAGTGGGAAGAGCTGCCAGTTTAGAGGCCACCATAGGTGTCCAGCTGGTCAGGCAAGTTTTGAGCTAGGCTGGTGGCATTGGAGAGGACTGTAGAATCAAGAGGTATCAGGGAACCAAAATTGATGGATAGTCTGTTAATGAACACAAGAAGAAGCAGTAAAGATAACACCAGGGCTTGAACCTTGGGCTAAGAATAAAGATGCCATTATTAGGAAAATTAGTGGAGACACTAAAAGTGTGGCTGGAGTTAAGGCTGCAGTGATTGTTTGAAACTTGGTGATTTTTACTTTGAAAAACCATCAGGTTTCTTATAAAGATTGGAAGGAGCCATTGAAACCGTGTTTGATACTAAGAAGAGTGGGTAGGGGTAGAGTAAGAGATTAGAACATCTTTTTTTTTTTTTTTTTTTTTTTTTTTTTTTTAAAAAAAAAGCAAAGCCTAAGATTTAAAAGTCAGGGTACAGAAGGATAGTACCCACCTCCTCCCTCAGAACCAGGAAAATAGAAGAAATTCCAGAAAAGTATACAGGTAGAGTCTGAGCAACTGAAAAGGGGTAGCAGGATGCAGAGGGCATAAGCGGAGAGTCCCATTGGGCTCATCCATAGGTACAAAGCCAAGATGCTGAAAGGGAGAGCCTTGACATCATGCCACAAGGCTTGGTGATTGGTTGAAAAAAGTCTTTATCAAATTTCAGAGTGTAGGTTGATTACAGTAGTGAGTACAGGAGCCAGAACTTAGGAGTTAAGGAGTGATTGATTAATTGTTCAGGATGCAGAATAGATTATATTTTTCAAAACTTGGTGTTGAAAAGACAACCAGAAGCAGGTGAACATCTTGAGTGTAACAGTCAACTTGAGTTAGAATTTTATATAATGTGGTATGCAGTTTCAGATCAAATTAAACAACATGAAGTGGTGATGGAGCTGTTGTGATAGAGTAACAAGACATCAGCAGTGCTCAAACTTCTGTCTGAGAGCAGGGAAGAAATATTAGGGCTATCGGGGGGTTGGGTGCTTATATATTAGTTACATAGAATGAGAGAGGCGAAATCTCTTACTCATTTGACTTAGCTACCGTTTACATTGCATAAATGATAGAACTTGTTTCTACCTCTCGAAATGCATTCAGGGAGACTCATGACCCACACATTTCATGCATCCTCTTCTGACTCAAAAATCCTCAGGCAGCATTTGTGTGTCCATAGTTACCTGAACTGGGTAAAAAGCTTGGGCCCTTTAAGAGCAACCTGTTACTGACTACTGAAAATACAAACTGACTCTCTTTTCTGCAGTTCTTTGTGTGTGTTCTTTCATCTATCATTCATGTACGTGAATATGCATTTCATGCCTCGCCAACATTTTTACTGCCTGCTTATGTACACAGCTCTTTTGGCCAAGGATAAAATTGAAAGTATAGTTGTGTTCTTTGGATTTTAGAAGTGAATACAGTATACATTTTATCCAAATAGCATGAAGCACGAGGGAAGACTCACAATGAGTCAAGACGAAAGACAGACCTTCTTGGTGAGAGTATGCTCTGCCAAGGCACTGGACTCCCGGAGGCCTGTCTTCTGAACAATTCTTGATGTCTGATTTTATGGATTAGAGATTATTCTTTGGCATTGCCACCTTTGAAGTGCCAAGTTATAAAAGGTCTAATTGAAGCATGGAGCACATTTTATTATTTTCCTCCTGCCATTAAATTTGTAAGATGACTACACCCAAAAAGAAACATTCACTTTCAATCAAAATGAGCTTGAGTTCATGGGCCAGCCTTGAGGATATCAAATGGAAACTGCATAGGAATGTATGAGTATTTCCTTTTAAAATTCTGCTTTTAATTTGGGAAAGCTTTTCATCCCTCTGGGATCATAACCTGTTGTGTATAAGCCCAGCCTAATCAAGGTAGATGGTATTGACAGAATGACATAGCTTGAACTTGAGCAGGAGGTCAGCAGGCAGATTGTTTTTGCTCTATGTTCTGTAGCCACTAACAGCAAAACCAGGCAGCTGGTTTTACCAGCAGCATTGTTAAATGGAAAATACAGTCTAGTATGTCCCATGAAACCAGCCATGTATTTTCCAAATGTTGAGACCTTTTTTTTCAGTAGAGTCAGACATTTATGGGTGATAGAATAACTTGACAGCTATAACAAATACACACAAATTGTTATTAACATAAATGACTGTTAATCTTTGGCTAGAAAGAATGCTAGCTTTTTTTTGTTTAAAGTCAGCAGATCCAGAACTGTTCATTTTTGATGGACATCCAAAGCCACTGTCCATCTGGTGCTGAGTTGCTTACTAATGTACAGTATATTGTCACATACTTAAATATTTTCCAGAAATAGATGACTATCCCTAGGGCTCATTTATTATTAACTTTAATAAAATGTCTGTGTCCCTGGATTTCTGTTTGATGATTTAACAAGAAGTCTGTATGTATTCATCAATACAACAAGACTATAAACACAAAAAATCTTACCTGCCTAGTTTTAAGACTTCCAGATGAAAGCCTCAAACTCACAGTAAATAGCTTTTTAAAAATTCAAGTTCTTTAAAGAGAAACTATTAATTACCTTAGATAGTTGATCCATGATGCCATTTGATAATGTAAAATGACATTATGAGTGACTATATTTTCAAAAGGTATTTTTAAAGTTTTTTTAAGTTAATATATCATGATGGGTTTTACATCACGATAGTTTGTTCTTGTTCATTCTTCCTACTATCTCCTTGTGTCCCTTGCTCACCCTCCTTTGACAGCCCCCACTGGTTCTCTTTACAAAGGGTTGCTTTTATTGCATTTGAATTTTAATAAATACAGCTTCAGGGTCATTTATGCATCTGTTTGATTGCACGTTGCACCCATATTGCATGTCACACCCAATGCTGCTGGTGTTAAAAGTACATAATCTTTTGCCAATCTGATTTGTTAATTTGCTATTTTTACTTATATTTTTGGCAAAGAAAGACATGTGCTATTTAAACTAAGAACCTAGAGTGTGTGTTCTGGACATGGGATGCAGCATGCTTTATAGTAGTGCAGGGATGTGATCTTTCCAGGTGTATGTAGCAGAGCACTGTATCAGAGCATTGAAAGAAATGGTTGGCCCTGCTTGCCATGCCATTTTATAGCAAATGGGACCTAAGAAGAACAGTGAGGAGGAAGCAATACACGTTTTCTAATTGTCCGTTTCTCCATACTGTCTCTTGTGATGAGATGGTGTGGTAACGCTGAAGCAGGCATCGTCCTTGCTTCATGATGCCCCACACTCCTGCTTTTACTTTTGCTGTTGGCCTCTTAATTTAAAGGACTGTCCTCTGGCTACTGGATGTTGCTTTGTACTCACTGCAGAGAGCTGGAAAAGCTTAGCTACTGTGTCATGGGAAAAGTTGACAGCCCACTGCCTCTGACCCCTGTAGTAGGGATTATTCTGCAATTCCAGGGCTCTCTGAAAAATCAGACGGTAGTTGTGACATGGCCTGGGTGCCTTCCCTTCCATGTTCCTCACCCATCTGTCTTGGAGGCATTTCATGAGTAAAAGACATGCATGAGAATCTTTATCTCAGGACTTGCTTTTTATACCTGATTGCAGGTCCATGCCATTTCTACGTAACCAACATTTGGTTCTGCTGTGTGGGCAGTCGCTTGAGCAAAGCATAGCATCAGCCCATTCTTTCCTCAAAGCCAGTGCTGTATGCTGTTACGGGACTGGTGTAGCATGTCTGACTTTATTGCTTGGTTTTGAAACTATTATCATCATTGTAATTTTAAACCTGAGCC